TTTTGTAAAGGACCTAGCTAGTGTAATCGGGTGATTTAGTTTTCCAAATTAGCTCAAGCTCACTAAAAAGCCACAAACTATCTGAAGTGCTTGGTCCACAGGGAACTTCTGTGCTTCAGTATGAGTTTAGAAGCCAAATTTCAATTTTGCTAATGTAAAACTCTTGGCCAACACACTTGTTTCTTAATGCTAGAACATTCATGAAAGTTGTGCTAAAAAAACCCAGAGGCTTCACATTAAGCAGAATGCAATATTTCAGAAGGTCTTATGACCCACACTCTGACCAAATGTAAAATTAATCTGACTTGGTCAGTTTTTAATCAGATTTTTTTTTTTCCTCTTCACCCTAGTTCAGTTTGATAATATAGGCAAAGCTGTGCATACAGTGCTTTCCTGAGATCATAGGATCTACAGTATGTGCTGCTCAAGTTCTGCAACTTGTATTCTGTAAGTTCTGTTTCTTGTTTTTGTTTTTTCCTTCAATGAGCATACCGTTTTTTGGAAGAGCAGAGAGCAGAACGTGACTAAAACAGTTAACATGAAAAGCTGTACTTACCACATGAAAAGTAGGAAGAATAATTTAATGGTAATACCAAAGATGGCCTTGCATGGGAACTCACAAATGAATAAAAATATGTCTGTTTCAGAAAATTAGTCAAGCTGTGCTGAGTCTGAAGTGCAACAATTCCTTTTGCAGACAAAAAGCTTACTACATTTTATGAATAAAAAAAATATTCCAACCAGCCCTATACTTAGACCAGCTAACAAACCTATTCAGTTTGCATGAGACAATTAATAAACAGCTATGAACAAAACTATTTACTTTTGACAGCTTTGCCGCTGCTGACATCATGTCATATCCCTGCTGCAACGTCTCCTTTTCAAGATTTGTGATGTAAGGATTTATACCTTCAAAGCAGGACTAGCAAATGCACACACAAACCTAGTTGCTTTTTATCATAGTAAGATTATTGTAGCTAGGATAAACACATTGAAACATATAGTGTAACTCATTGGTATAAAACTAAGCACACAACCTAGTTTCTCCACAAGTCTTACAAATTGCCTCTAATGCCTTTTAAGCTTTATCTGCTTGCAGCAGTGGACTCCTGAGAAATCTGTGACAGCCCTTGCCTTCCTGTGGCACAGATGATGGTTTAAATATGCTTTGCACCTCCTAAACGTTTGTTTGATTTTAGTGGGTTTTTATGATGTTTGAAAAAAATATTAAAAAAAAAAAAAAAAAAGACCTTTCGGGTAAGACCTTTCAGATATCTTAGATTTTGTGGTTTTCTGTGTTATTCTAAATACATTCAAAATATGGAGTATACTTGTTCAGCCATATCAAAATAGCAAAGCTTTGGCTGGGTATCTCCTACAACATGTAAAAATTCAAGTCTGATGCAAGAGCTCTACTGTCAAGGGATGGCAGTATTATACCAAAGTAGTAAAATGCTCATCAGACATGTCAAATGCCAAATTTTTTGTGTAAGGATCATTTATTAAGTTAAGTTGCTGCAAAGAACTGAGGTTTTCTTTCTGTGTCTCCCTGTAGATATAGGGGCTTTTGGTATCACCAGTTAAAATAAAACAATGCATTTGTAAAACCTGTAATAAATTAATTTAAAGCATTTACATGTTGATGTTTGGCAAAAGGGAATGGAAGCTTTTGCTTCTACATTGACATTGCAGGAAGCCACTGAAACTTGACTATCACAACCCAGCTCTTCCACACTTGGGTGCCTGTTAAAAAGACTACTTCTGTGGAACTACTAAAACATTTCAGCTGTTGACAGATGAGTTGTAATGAACATTGCTGCAGTAACACAAAGTCTTACAGGCCTCAGCCCTCAATAAGTTGGAGTTTACCACCCCGTGGTAATGTAACTTTTCTGTCACTACAAGGCAGTCTAATATTATAATCTTATATTCTACAGATACTAAAGTCACCTGAATTATAGTCATTCATCTCTGCTTTCATATTACATGTGATCTAACAATGTTTCCAGGCAGGCTGATCAGGACTTCACCCTATCATTCATCCTATTATATCTCCACCTCGCTCAACAATCTTGCAAATTCATTCCAGAATCCAAGTGTTGGGTTGATTTTTTTTTTGGTTTTGTTTTTAAAATGGCTGCTTCCACCGAGAGTACTTGCTTACTAAGGAAACAAAATGTTGGTCACCTTCTTCAGCAGCAGCTCGGGACTGAACTCACTGACGCACACGACATCCAGTGCCACTTCCCCATCCCAAACACTCTGCAGGGCTCAGATACAAGTGCAGCTATTATGCTCACCACGGTTAGAGCTAACATCTCTCTCACCTGAACAAATGCGGAACCAAATAAACCTTTTGGTTTTCAGAAGACAGATCCCCACATTACACACACCACACATGCAAATTAGGTGCACTCATATTTAAACAACTTCAATCAGCTTTCTTTGCTCTTTCACAGGTGTGGACAGGGTATCTCTTCCTTTGGAGCTTCTCTCACCTCAAGGCTGTCCACCAGATACTAGACTTACCTTTTTCTTCTTTTCAGATATGTATCTCGGGGAATTCTGTCTAATCCTCTGCACTCTGAAATTCCCAGATTCCCTATCTCACATATACAAACCCAAAAATAATTCTTAAGACAGCCAGCTTGAGCCCTGTGCCATAAGGAGGCTTCTGGAGGAGATGTGATACATCCAGATTACACTTCATGTGCTTTCCTATATTGACTAAAATATGCACTGTATAAGTAAACCTCAGGGCATGATCCCTATGACCCCGGGGCCTGATCGACAAAATCAAGTGCATCCATCTATAACTGTCTCTTTTAAAGACCTCCGGTGAAGGAAAGCTTCTCACCCCACCCAGAATAACCCATTCTCCTAAGCTTAACTAGTTTATTGTGAGGATATTTTCCTAATGCTTAATTTGCCATTTAAATGAAAAGCCTGTGTCTATCATCAACTTGGAGAAAAGACTGTTCCTATCCTATGTATAGCAACCTTTTCCATATTTGAAGACTTTTCACATATACTCCTTCAGCCTTACCATACCTTGGTAACACAGAAATACCATCACACTTCTCACAGGTTACACGGTTGATGCATCCCACAATAACGAGTGTCTTTTCTGTAGCAATGAATTAACAGTGCTCGGTTTACTGTACTCTGTACCATCCCTGCCCTAAGATGTTTTACGTAGTAATGCCCACTCCCTCCTCTGTTTGTGCAGCTGACTTCCTACCTAACTGTAGTTCCTCACATGCCTTATTTTTCCAAACCACTTCTCCTATTTTTCATGATCTTTTTAAACTCAAATCTTGTCTGCCTGCCTGCTGCAGCCCCATCAGCTTGGTATGCGTTACCTAGATAAAGCAAAAATTTATTTATTACCTCCAAATGAGGACCTACCTCCACATACCCCACAGAAAGCATAATTTCTTACTTTTTTTCCCCCATATCCCTTCTGTTAAAGCCAGTTTCAGTTTGGAGACTTGCCACATACAGTTAGGGATTTTTAAGGACACATTCCAATACCCTAATGAGCCTTAAAGCACCTCTGCTATTTAAAAAAATAATAAAAGCATTTGGTACAAACAGATTTCCTTCTGTTAAAATTCCTCCATTTCAAATCTAATTTTAAATAAACATTTGGAAGATTCAAATCTCAATAGTTTTCCAGTCACACGCCCATTGTATTTTAATGCAGCTCTACAAAATTAGTCACAGAAATGATCTGAAAGTATTTTTTGCTTGCTTGGAAGTAGAGTTGCCACCAGAGCTTTTGTGACAGTCTTCCTTTCTACTCCTTGAGGCTTTTGTTACATTTCCTGATCAGCGAAGGTCTGTGGTTTATAACAATTTAAATGTTTCTCTAAGACCCTCACTGGTAATTAAGGCATCTGGCTTTACAAAAGGAATGATAAAAAACATTACAAATACAAGTGGTTTAGGTGGTGGGGTTTCTTTGTTATTTTGTTTTGGTTTTTTAAAAAAACCAGTTCTAAACTATTTTAATCAGTATACATAATGTCGCTATAGAGATTTAACTAGCATTTCTTCAAGATGTTCTGCAACTTGTTGCTGGCTTGAAGGGACTGCAACCTTTTCAAACTTGTGCTGATACAACAAAGTTTTCATGTGTTCCACGCTAAGTTATTGGTATATACAGGCTTGCTACAAAAAGAAACCCATGATTTCTTATAAATCTAGATAAAATACAATCATGTAAACGTCTCCCACTTAAATGTTGGGCGAACATCATTGGATTTCATTATAAGTGAAAAGCATAGCTTTGTCATGTATTTGCAAACAGTATGTGGCATGCCAGTTTGGAAAAAATTTACGTTTAATTGCATCCAAAGAGTATACTAGAAGAGTGTTGGAGTGAGAGATAAGGAGCCTTTCCTTTTCATTCTACCATGGAATAGCCTGAAACAATTTTGCCATTCAACAACAAAAAGTAATCCTTAGCAAGTTTTTGCGTTATTGTTTCCAAACTCTTTACTGAAATCAAAACAGAGGGCCAAAATATGCTTGCCTTTCCCAAGAGAATATTCCCACTGAAATCAACAAGACTGACTACGCATATATGGACAGCAATGTTTGGCCCCAAATAAACATTCCCATAACTAGGGAAAACACTAATCACCAAAGTGCACTTTACACCATAGTAGCTACAGTTTCTTTATACATGCACAGTTTGTGTGACGCTTTGTACACAAAACTAGCCAATGGAATATAAATAAGCGTGACACTTTTTTTTTTAAATATGAACATTAATAATGAAGCACATTCACATTTTTGCCTTTCAAAGACCTTTTCGGGAAAAAAAACACAACAAAAACCCACCTTCCCCAAAGTAACCTGGAACATGTTGTTAAATATAGCACATATTATTCCAAGAATGGTATTAAGGTAGAAGAACTTTCACACACAAAACTGGTATTTGCTGTATAATTGGAGTGACTTATGAAAATTCCAAGAAAAGACAATCCTCTCACCAGGAGAGGAAGATTATGACAGTTGTAGTGTTAATTCAGTTTCTTCTGTAGGGGCTTGTCTTTATCTCCACCATTTTCAGGGCTGAAGTCAGTACAGATACCATTAGGAGCAGGAAGAGATGAAGTTTCCAAGCCACTCTCAGCTCCCATCTGATCAGCATAGAGATAGTCTTCTGCAAAGTGTGGGTGTAATTCAGCAAATCTGTAGAAATCATCTAAAAAAAAAATTAAAAACATTTGTTTTTACACAGAATCAGCTCTTCGAAACAGAAGGATGCTAAATTTGAATACTGAGACATATATAATCACATGATCACTCTGGGGAAAAAGAGCAGCAGTTAACATAATGCTATCCCCGTTGCTTGTTTTAGCTTCTCAGCAGAAGTTTACCACGTCCCTGGAGCCGAGATGCTGCAAAGAGTTATCTAAGCCCTCTTAAAAGACTTCAGACGAGAGCTTAGCTTGTATGGTGAAGGGGTAAACAGGCTCAGATGGGCATTAAAATGCATGAGGAGCACCACATGCCCTGACATAGCAGCTCACTGCTCACTGGGGAAAGGACAGTAGCCCTCCAGCTGAGCAGCAGCAATCATTTCTTAAATCTGGCAAGTCTTTTGCAAACATGCCCTTTATTGTTTTGTATTCATAATTCTCTTCAACCTAACAGCAGCTGTCACTGTTGCCTTCCTCTTTCAAGATTTCAGCATTTCAAAAGTCCTAACATTTTAGAGAATAACACTGTGAAAAGGTAATTAATTTTACACACTATGAAAAAAAATAGCTTCAGTGTTGGATACTAACAAGATAATAACAAGAGCAAGATTAGTTCTTGGGGGAGTGGGGACTCCTTAACATCAAGAAGTAACATTTTGTGTTAAAAAATCAGACACTGAAGCCTTGTCACAATTTGTCCATAGGACTGTTTATTCAGAGGTGATGTGAACACAAGCTACTGTACAGGATCCAAGTCATAAGAAGCTATTCTTTTAATGTAAACTGACACTGGAAAAAGCTGGATGTAAATATTATCACCACCTCCTACAGCTAGAGTGTATCCACACGGAGCACTCTAATTCACTGTGTTACCCCCGAAGAGCTCATGATCAGATGATGCTGAGAGTTCCCTGGAGTGCAGCAAGGATGACAGCTGGGCTGGTGTGGAAGAAAGGAACTATCGCAGCTTTCCCTCTCTTGTCACCCATCTCCATTTGCAATGGCTCGTTTTTCTCAACGTTGCAAAGGGCAAGGGAATGTCATGTGGCTCACAGGGGCACTGAAGTTGCAGGCCAGCCCTGCCTCTGAACCGTTGCAAAGGGATAGGCAAGGAAAACGCAATAAATGTAACTTCATCCTTTCGCAAACAAAAAAGTGGCTATCTTTATCCACAGTTTATATGGATCTAAAGTACTCTGGACCCTGTCATTTCAACAAAACCTGATGATGTTCAAGTCATGAAAACAAATGCTATCATCTGTGTTGAAAAACCTGTATATGCAACAGGCTGATTGCTCATGTAAATGCTAAAGTATTCAGGGGGAAAAATCTTAAGTATTTGAAAATGCACATAGCGAATTCTTTTCTTTTGAAAATATTTGAAGCAAGTTCAACTTTTCTATTTGTTTTATTAATCTCATAGCAAAGAATGTGATGCATCTGACCTTTTGCAAACAGGAAATGCAGAACGTTCTTTTATATTTAAAAAATTTAACAGTGGTAGTAGGTGCAATAATACATTAGAAACACTTGAGTGCAAATTGATTCATCAGAACCAGAAGTTAAGCACATTCAGTGAACCCACCCAACTACATTATTTTTTTGCAGTTAACACAGGAAGAGCAATCAGCTATCAGCCTTAACTAGGTCTAGCCTACAGCAGGAACGTGAAAGCATTCCCTTTTTTCACAGGGAAACTTTAAACTCCATCCCAAGGATCTATTCCTTTTTGTAATAACACATAACATGTGCATCACATTAATGACCATGAAAAAACTACCCTTGTATGGGAAAAGTCATTCTGATAGTTGGCCCAACTAAGGTAAGACAAGTATAAAAATTTCAACCAACAGTACCAAAGATGCTCTTACAATTAAATTAAGTAAAATCTTTTTTTGCAAGAAAAAGACTAGACTATTTAGTGTAGATGACATTCTAAGTAATTCTTTAAAAAGGTATTGTAATTTTTCAGAAAAGTCGTTCACATAAGTATAATAGTCTATATCCAGATCAGCATCCTGACAATGCTCCCAGGATCCAGCCTTCAGTATTTTACCAGTGCTGGACCCAAAAGAAAAACATCAGATTGCAGGGAGGACTCAACTGAACAGGATGATATTTCTGATAGATCTGAGCAAGTAGACATTTTGGGTCTTGCTGAAACAAGTCCTGTCTCATGCGTCTTATTCATCAGAACTGTGAAGCAAGGCGATGCAGGAAGAATGAGCTATTCGAGCATTGATTCTAATCTCAGGTGTTATCTTGTAGCTTAAGCTTAAAGCAACTGTGAAGCATTAGACTGGAGGAAAAGATCAGCTTAGTCATTTATTCATTTTGATTCCTGCTCCTACAAATAGGAAAGAGAGGAAAAGAAGGAAAACCTGGAGGGGAGTTCTTTGACACTGCTGTCTCTACGTTTGCGTTAAGTATGCATATGTAGCTACAAGAACTTCAAGAGGTTTTTCTCTTGCCTTTGCAATACCCTCCCCACTATTTGATGCTCCCGAGAGAAGCTGTACGTTCACAAATCTCCCTAGTTTTTTGTTCCCTCTCAGCTAGAAATTGCTTTAGTGTACAGGAACTTAGTAAAATACTCCTGTGGTTACTACAGGTAAGGATACTATCTTTTAAAGAAAAAATAATTCTTCCTTCTCTGAACATTCTTCCATACAAGTATTCACAATACTGCCAATCCACCCTTGCTTCTTGTTACCAGCCAGCAAGGCAGAGTCTTCAAAGCACTTTCACAACCATCATTTGTCTATCAAAAGCAAGTGCACAGCTTCCCAGAATTTGCCATATCCACCTACAGAACTTATTCAAATTCTCCAGAATGACTTGTAAAATTGAGAAAACTTACCTCGCCCTAGATTACAGTGAAGGGATGAGCTTCAAAATCAAGGTGCAGCTAAACAGTTAAGCTAACAGCACACTGCTTAAGAGAACTGAAACAATACATAGGTCTTTGGCAACTAGTGTAGTTTCAAAGGTGACAAAAATCCAGACCTCTTACAATTCAGATCCAATATTATCAATGTAATTATAAAATCTCAACTTTGCTATTGGTTATTCTCTTTACCTGTAACCTGAGCTTTTCCTTTGGGATGAGATCTCTGGCTTTAAGGACTCTGCTACATGGGCAGCAATTTAGGCTTGATAATTTGGATATTTTATTCTTTTGTTCTTACAGTTAAGACTGAAGACTTAATATTCCTGCTTCCCATTCTAACACCCTAGAAGAAAGGAGCTGGTGACCAGATCCCTCAGCTGCGTGTATCCAAAGTTCTACCAAAGTTTTGATTTCTCAGAACTTGTCTGGAGAGTGCCTTCAGAAAAGGTGGTTTGCAAATTTTCCATCTTTCCTTTCAGTATTTAAATGCAACAAATTGAGTACATGGAAAATTGCACGTATTCTCAGGAAAGCCAAGAGATTGAATAGTTAGAGCAAGAACTTTCAAGATAGAAATCAAAAGTTTATTTTCATCATCTAATTCTCTACCACAATAAATTGGACATACACTCTTAGTATTAAAGCTTTCAAATACATTAAAATCTTGGTGCAATATTTATATTATAAAACAAGCACTTCTCTCAGAAAAAGGTCCAAGCAAAGTTTCAAATAAGTAATGTAAACACTATCTGACTTTGTGTAGCCTCACAAAAGACTACTCCTGACTGCAGGAAATAAAATAGTGAAAATGAGAGCCAAGCACTTCAGTGGGTACTGCTGTGCCTTGGCGGTCCGTATTTTCTTGTGATGGGAACACACCATGACCACTCAGGGGTGAAGTGCAGATTTAAATCCAGCTAAGTACTGTTAAAGATAGGTATTATAAAATGAATTCTTTGGTAATTCACATGAACTGGTCTGACTTCACTTGTACATTATTTCAAATTTAGCTATTCTCAAACAACAAAGTGTGACAAAATTAGAGTTCTGCTAGGCTTAACAGCTTAGATTCTGTGCTGGTATTTTTGAAGCTGGTGACGGGAGGAGGCGGAGGGAGGGGGAAGAAGAGTTGAGTCACCACTCAAAGGAGTTGGGAGACAACAGGGAGCAACAGAGACAGGCAGGAAAAATGCGGTAGCATAGGATGGACATGGAACTGCTGGGAATGTGATAGATGAGAGGTACGGAAAGGGGTAGCAGAGCAGGAATCAAGGAAGCAAGATAGCAGTCAGGAAAAAAGCAGGGCAGTGGCAATGATTATCATCCCAATAACTCTAAAATAATTCTGTAGTTGAAGCTTTACATACCTGTTGGATGGGAATTATTAGCATAGAAATTGTGATTTACTGACACTGACATCTTAATATTTAAGATTTTTAAAAATTAAATACATACGGACTACCCTGAAGGAAAACCACTAAAACAGGGCATGTCATAAGTACTTGTACTGGAGATACATGATATGTTGCCTATCAACAATTCATGTTTAAATGATACAACTCAATTTAGAACCTTACTGCATAAAAGAAGAACCTGAAGTAACACACAAGTACTTTGATTCCCAATATAATCTATTCAACCAGATCTCACAGTTTTTCAGCTGCAAGTTCCTTGTCTCCATATCACCTGCATCACAGAATATGTATTGAGCAGTCTAGTTAATATTCCCCCCCCGCCCCCTTGTGATTTACTTTCAAACAGGCTGAGAAATTAATATGGGAGTAGAAAGTCTTATGTCCCCCTATATTTTGGGAAGGCAGATATAGCAGGGAACAGATACAAGAGACAAAACAACAGGGCAGAACTAAGATAGCTTTCTTAAAAATAAATATTCTCACACATGGAAGTCACAGAACAGAATATGCTGAAAGAGCTAATCCATGTAGTAACTGACTTAATGTGGAAGGAAAAACTGAAAACATGTAAAGATGACATTTGGTATTAGAGGTGAAACTCAAAATAATATTTTTAAACATAATATTTACTTTGTCTGCAGAAGTTTTTTCATTATTAAAGTCAGCAAGTCAAATAAAAAAAAGGTTAAGTTTAATAAAAATGTAACTGGTTTGTATATCAATACAAGCTCAGATAACTACAGATCCACTTAAAATACTTACCGTATGTAATCTTTCCTTTTTCTTCATCATCTACAGCTCTAAAGAGATGCGTGACATTAATCTGTGACACACCCATGGCAGTCTTCAGGATATGAGCTAAATCCTCTTCTGTTATGGTTCCATTTTCTGACTGGTACAGCTAAGAAACAAGACAGCAAGATACATCATTGCAAAGATGAATGCTAACTCCTGCAAACAGCACCATATCAAGAAGGTATGCAAAATTAAATCTGGCATTGGAAATTCTGCTCACTCAGACTGAGGGGATATGCTAAGAATTTCTAATTAATCTGGGTAAAAGACAGCATTGATTTTTACTTCACCTGTGTATGCTTAGAAAGTAAAGCTTGTTATATATAAAAAACGACCAACCCTCTAGATGCCTAACCACTGGAACTTCAGTGATATTCAGAGACAAGATTGTTTAACACTAACATCTTTTGCACAGATGTAACTGAGAATCATTTTGAGTCCATTGAGCTACATATCCAAACTCCAAGAGTCTGTGGAATCAGGAAATATATTTAGGTCACCCTAAAACAGATACTGTTTCCACTTGATCAGATGTAAAAATCCAGTTTGCTTTGACCAAAATCCTATTGATTCAACAGCCAGTTTGCATGAAATACCCAAGTCTAAATGGCATTGTATTAATCAGGAGAATTCTACCCCACACAGTTACGGGCCTATGATTTTCCACAAATATTATTCTAGAACATAATAAACTGCATATTAAGTCCTGAAGCAAAGAGTTTCCTCAGAGAGTTAGCTTCACCACTGACAAGAGACTGATAACTAAATATAACTGTTCATAGTCTCATTCTATCTTTGTATATACACACAGTGTTTTCCCCTGAAAAAAAGGGCCTGAATATTTCAACACAACTCTAACAAATACAGCTTCATTAAACTTTCTGAAATAACTCAATTTGCCCATGCAATGGAAGTTAAGACAGAAGAGTTTTGAAACATCCTTGTCTCATTTTCAAGCATGACAACATTGCATGCCATTAGGGAAACTTCCTTTTAGTTTCTCTACATCACTGAGGTGGGAGCTGATAAGATAGAACAAAACAGGCATAAGGATGCATTTTTCACACAAGCAGAGGCTGCTGTCATGAGACACTTCAATGATAAAAAAAAGCCAGTGGAATAAAATAAATTTAAAAAAAAAAATTGTAGTTCTGTGGAAGACAACATTCATGCTTCCATCAGGCATCTTGCCTTCTCTTCCCTAGCACCTAACCTGCACACTGGTTCCTAAAGAATAGGTGCAATGTCACAACACTTGTTTAGTAACACAAGTGATACTTGATTGCAAGGCTCACAAGCATCATAGTGGCAAGACACAAAACACCCTTTCCCTATGCGATTATACAGCTCAAATGGAGTAAGGGCAGAGACCTTTCTGCATTTCCCTCAGGGGTAATTAATAGCAGCTCTTGGAGGCAGATTTTCCCCAGTATTTGTATAAAGTAAGCTTTTTTTTTTCCTTCCTCCTTTATTAAATTTGTCTGATACTGGCCAAAGGGTAAGAGAATAACAGATGTGAACACTAAACATTCACAGGAGCTTAATTTCTTTTGCAAAACATAGTTAAGAGAATAAATAACACAGGTATGCTGAAGAACCTGAACACAACTCTCAGAAAATGAGGCTTGCCATGTAGTACCACACAACTGAGTGTTCCTAACTCCATGCACTCACTAGTGAAGACAGTATCAAGAGTTAGCGTTACTGAAACTGAGAAGTGCTAATGAACGCTGAGTTCAAGGCAAAGGGAAAAAGGCGATGCAGGATGCAGCAGAGTTTACATGTTGAAATAGCAATACTGAAGAAATTAAAACATAATATATCAAGGCATCAAACCAACCCATTGGGATGGCACAGTAAGTATTGCTGCGGTCACTTTCCCAAAGAGCCTACATCTATGCTGATGCTGCAACAAACCACCGAGGCTACAACAAGGTCAGAAGCACTTCTGAAAAGCATAAAGTCTGCGCAGAGACTGCAAGACCAACACAAAAGCATGCTAAGACTAAGAGGGAATTTTATCAAGAAGATAAAAGAAGGTAAAAAAAGAAAAGTAATCTTTATTAACACGTAGGAAAAGTTTTAAAGTATTTTATTAAATTGAAAAATAAGATTTGATTGAAACATTAAAAAAGTGGTAAGCACAACTCAGTAGCCTTTAGTTTAGAGGAATCAATACGAAAGGCTTCAGGTTTGAGACTCCATGTGCTGAAAAGGAACTCTTACAGAGTTCCTCTGAGAACAATGTCAAACTGCAAACTTCCATAATTTTACACAACTCGGTTACAGTGCATTCCCTTCGAACATGACCTCTTAATCTAACTTTTCATTAATACTAGTTTAAAAGGTAATTAAGTATTAAAAGGGCATGTGAAACAAGCTTCTGTTAAGTTTAATGGCAATATTAATAATTTCTAAAAAAAGTAAACTACATAGAAAAAGAAAATGCTGCTTACCTGAAATGCCAACTGTATGGTTTCCAGAGTTTTGGATGGTTTACAGACAACTGACAGGGCAATGACAAATTCCCGAAAGTCAATTATGCCATCTTCATTCTGTGAAGGAAAACCTCATATCAAAATACTGCAGTTTGTCTGAGAACGTTCATAAATAACTAACAGTTGCTAAAAATGCAAAATATTCAGAAAGATCACTACATAGCTCTGCATGCCCTTTTTGGAGTCTCAGTCTGAAGTCATAATTCAAATATTCTTGGGAGACAGTGCTACTACTGTCACCCTTCACTTTCATATTTAAGATTTTTGCATTAAATCACCTGAATGACCATGTTGAAATCAAAATCGGAGAACCAGAAGGCAAGGTAGCCTAATTTAAGTCCTGAATACACAATATCTGCTCTTTGGTCTAAGAGAGCACGCTGCAGATATAGCCACCTCCTAGTCCAAACAGCACTTCATTCTGACAAAGATCACAGTCATTTCCCCATCCTGACTGCTTGCCAGAGGAATGAAAACTGGCTCATTTGCCAAGTTCCTAGGTCCTTCAGGTTTCAGGCACCCTGGAAAAACAAGTGATTTATTTACAAGGTTAGTGAAAAATAAGCTAGTAGGCCTTGCATTCAGTTGGAACAAGCAGCAGCAGAGGTTCAGCCTGAACCCATCTTTCCTCCTCTTCATGTTTTGCACCTAGAAAGAAAATCAGTTTTGTCCAAGTGATACAGCTTTTAACTTTTACCTGAATGAATGCTTTATTTAGTTGATGACAGGTACTCTTACCTTGCTGAACGGGAAATGCAGCAGGCAAATACTGTGAAGTGCGCAAAAATACTTAGCACTGACCCAAACTAGACCTCAGTGAATTCAGCTGGAACAGAGTCAGGCTAAAATGGAGTGTACCAAAAGTAGTACAATTTTTAAACAGGATGTTGTTTCTTACCTCATCAAAAAGTGCAAACATACTTTCTAACGTGTGAGAAACTGGAAATTCCAGGTATGTTGAAAATTCTTTAAGATCAATATTTTCTTTTTTCATTTTCATGGCACTTGCAGCATATTTATCAAGATCATCTTCAAGTGTTTCTGGCTTCAGCCTAGAAAGCATATTGGTTTTGCACATTTTAAAAATAAACAGTTTTAACAATATAAATTTCAATACACCAAATGAAGCAATGGATGCAACTTTATTATAGAAGAATGTATTCCTGTAATTAAGGTTCCTGTTAGTTCTTGAACTGTATTAGAAATTACTGCAGGGGCTTAGGCCCTGGTTGTAAACTTGTGTCCTTTATTCTACCTTGATTCTAAGCCACACATGTAAGCAGTTCAACTCGAACAAGAAACACAGTCTAGAACTAGAATACCAGGCATGGGGAACTAGGTGGGATTTAGGTCATCTGAATATGGCTGTATGGCAGGACAGTACCATAAACCAATTATGTTTCCAAATTTACCAATGTCACTGAACAGGAAAGACCTGATGCATCTTGCCTAAAAGAAATCAGGGATTACATAATAGCGATTATACTGCTAATCCTGTTTGTCAGTCCTCATTTTTCACGTTCAGTCTGGAGTTGGACACCATTACGAGGTGACACAAATGAAGTTATAGCTACAAAAAATCTCTCAGTACTTCTGATTGCAAAACCAGATTTTGACTGATGAATGAATGGCTTTATATTTATGCTGACATCTACTGCATGGTTGTCGGTTGTGGTTTTTTGCTAAATCAAGCTTCCTGGTTTTGCGTTGCAAAAAAAAAAAAAAAGAATCTTACTATGAATGTAATCGATGGTGCTGCAGGTATGTGGGGAAAAGTAAATTCCTTTCCCAATAAAACATCAACCAAATCTTGATTAGGTTTCTTCTGAACTGATTTAGTGTAAGGTGGGCATCCAAACTTTCCAATTTGAAGGTTAAAGAAGCCTTCTACAATATTCTTTTGCCATTGTCTGTTTTGCTGTTTGCTGCTGCAGTTATGTACAGGGCTCACAAGCTCACACCAGAATTGTTCCCAAACCACAGCTGGGACTGCTCAGCAGCTTCCTCTTAGTGACAAGAAAGAATAAGATACTTTATATAAGCATTCTTGGGAGCTTCTGAGGTAAAATAAGAGCATTGCTCACAGGAAGACTGTCTGGTATGTCAGCTCTAGACTTTGATTGCTTGCTGAAATGACCTTTCCTAAAATTCACTGCTTTTAAGTAAAAAAACAACTACTATGCTGTGCCACTAACTAAACTGACTTACCCACAATGTACAAACTGAACAACACCAAGTCCTGTATTTCTGAATTACACGATGTGAACATGTAAGGATTCTTCCAGAGACCCATGGTCCCTACAGAACATTCATACATTCTCCGTCCTGGCATTAAAGCACCTACCTAAAGTTTTGGTGTTAGTATAAAAAGAACAGCGAAGCACCCCTCTGCAAACATTTATTTTCCATGATCAAGTAGAAAAGTAGCAGGAACAATGACTAAGGAATCCATGGATGATTTGAGATGCGCAGGGAACTCAGCTTCTCACAGGCAGCATTACATATAAGAAGTGTCTGCCGATAATATATCCCCACTGTAGTGGCTGAAATGGACTTTAACTGTAGGATGAGGACAGCTGGCAGCTGAATCCTCGCTTAAGATAAGCCACCACTGACACAGAATACACAGTCTAACATCTGTCTCTTAACCAGAGAGATTTGATTTGCAATTGACTCAAAATTCACCTTCTAGAACTGAGGCAATAGTCGTTTGGTGAGTAGTATTTGAGATTTGTGAGATCTCCACCAGTCAAATCCTACAGCCTATAAAGCATGAAGGCAAAACTTTGTACAGCAAGCGGAGTGTTGCGTGGCTTAGCATAGATCTTACAGATGTCTTGTGCTTTGGGTTTTGTAAATATAGAAAGAGACGTGGAGCCAATCTCAAAATGTGGGTTGGTGATTGCTTCTGCTTGAACATGACTGCATTCTACTTCTGGTAACCCAAGGTAGGCTTACGTCCCTCTAGCCCTTTCAGAATCGGAAAGTAATTCATGTGTGGATGGACCATGATCTGCTATGCTGAAGTCCTCTCAAGCCAAGTGTTGCAAATCCCACAGCAGGTTCTCAACCAACATGAAACAGTTTGAATGCCTCCAATACTTTAAAATTGTTACTTTTATACCAGTGGGGACTATAAAAGCTAGAAAGCCAACAGTGGATGCCTTGGCTCATGAAATCATGCTTGTTTGCCTAATGGCTTTCATGCAGAATCTAGGCTTTATGACAAATAACATTATTTGCTGTCATGGTGTTTTGCTTTATTTTTTAGGCCACTGCACACTAAAGAGATCAAGAAGTCATTCCCAAGGCCCTGAAGATGGAAAAGACATTTTTCAATGTTCAGTTTTTCTGAACATTAAATCTTTCAAAGCAGACTTCACAAGGAAAACCAGATCCCTGAAGGTAGGATATTTTCAGCATAATTACCACTATTTTTAGCAAGTGAGATATCTTGCCTCCTTAAAGCTAGTTTTAGATGCATTTGACTCTCTGAAAACAAGCTCCTTGCCTGCATGCTGGGAACCTGCCAAAAACCTTGGTGTCTCACAGAGCTGGAAGCTGCATAGCAACAGCTGGATCTTGTAGCTGGCTACTGTAAACTGCAAGCTCAGAGAAATGTGCCCTAAGCCAGAGAAGCACAACAAACTCAGTTTTATGACTGCTGATGTACTTCTGTGCAACATCTTGTCGTAGCAGAGAAAGAATACTAAACAGCTGCAAAATTGACCCTTCGAATACTCTGGCACATCCCTCCTTGATCCACAAGGCAGGGGCTACCATGGTTGGTATTTGGCATGTTAAGCCTGATTCACGATCACCTCCTATAATGGGCATTATTTGCCTTCATCATGAATGCAGATGAACAACATCCTCCAGAGATTTATTTTTTTCTTGTTATAGATGATTTCTGAATGCATTGAAGTCATGGCACTGGTAATTGTCTGTCAGGGGTAATTACTTTGGAGATGTAAAGCTCTTCCTACAGTCTACCTGCAGACTACCATTTCAAGCACACCTGAACAACAGAAGTTTGCATTGTAGCCTGGGAAGTAAAGGCTGCTAAGCAGGAATAGATGGACACAAAGCCTATGAGGTAATTACATATCTTATAAGCCTATAGGGGCATTGCCTAGTAGGATCCTCATGGCCATCTGGATGAGACAATAGTGCAGAGTAGTGGTCAGAATGGAACTGCTGGTTCAATTCAAGTCATTCTTACCAAAACGCTATGGCTTTTAAGAGATGGCAGAATTTATTCAATGCAAGTTGGTTTACTAACATTGAATTTCACCAGGGTCAGGGAGTGTGTAAGGAGGCAAACCCTGCAGACTTGCTAAGGTTGTAGAACATTCTTCCAGGGCAGACATCACCAGTACCTGTCACATGGGTAAGAGACATCAATAATACTCGGGTTCAGGAAAGCAAAGGAGATAGTTAAAGACCCCTCAAAAAGTTCAAAATAAATTGCTGACTAATTACTAAGAGTAATCCTCCTGAGAAAGCTAAGAAATCTAGAAGGCAAGAAGAAATCTGACCTGAAAGAGATGATTTGATGCAAACCATACCTTCTAAAAGAAGTGGATGTAACCAGCAAAGCCAGTGAAAGCCAGTGAACCTCATAGTCTATGTACTAACTAAACACATACACCGGACCAAGAACATACCCAAAGGGTCTTGTGCCACACATATACCAATAATAAAACACATATTCACCATGATACCATATCACGTTCTTGCTGTGTTTTCTGTACTTATTGCTTTTTGACACACTAATTGGAAGCCAACTACCATACCGGAAGAGAAAATGTGCCATCTTGTACAAGTACCAGTGCTGCCTAGCCTCTGAAAATAAATAATTAGAAAAATAGATGAAATCTTAATTTTTAAAGAATATTTGCCCCAAAGATTTCAAATTAATAACAAAAATCAGAAAGCAGAAAACAGTAACCAAGACAGAAGGATATGAAACACATCCACCCTTGCTAGATGTTCCGAAATATAACTGTGATTTTAAAAATACAGGATTTGGGAATAAAGAACCAGGAAGCAATTACGTAAATAATGCAGTAGTAGAGTACCAAATGTTAACAAATTGAAGCATAGACAGAAAGCAAGAGACAAGAGATCAGTTAAAAAAAACCAAACAACAAATCACAGGATAAGCAAACAGATGATCCTTAATCAGGCTAGAAGTTTGATGAGGTTATCAATACTTTTCCATTTTTCCTTCTTCTCAAAAAGATGCAAAAAGCTCAGGCCACTAAAATTATTCAAACAACATTTTAGGTTACATCAGGACCTGACTTTATTAGCCTCACCTAACAGCAGCAGAACAGTCACTAAAAATTTCTACTTTGGATTGCAGTATGCACTACATTTGGCTTTTTAGTTTTGTTTTGTTTTTTTTTTAAAGAGAGGAGAGATATCTCTGATTTTTAGAAGATAAAACAATTAAAACTGAGAATAATCACAACTAAAAAAAATAGAAAATCATTTGACTGAAAACTGGGAATTCTCTAAGCAGCTACTCATGGCCTAAAAACCACAGTTCTATGAGAAATGGGAACAACAACTAAAGCTCACAGGCCCTTCTATTTCATGGGCAAAGTGAATTAAAATGAACAGAAGTTTGAGCCCATAGGAACAAATCAATTCAAATTAGAACTTAAGGATCTCCTTGCAGGCAACTACCCTAAAGCAGCTCATAAAAAGTATCTCATACAAAGATGGAGATGAGATTTAATTATTCTACATTAGCACTTTCTGAAGGAAAAGATAACTAAAGAGGTCTCTAATAAGGCACAAAATCCAAACAAGTTTCAGTGTCAACAACCTGGTAATAGATCCAGTCAAAGTACAAACAGAGAATCACTCTAAACAGCGAGGTAATTAATTGTGGAATAAATCACCAAATGAAGTAGAGGATTTACAATGTGTGAAAGCTACAATAAAGACTGCATATAGCTCAGTAATCAGCTCATTGGTTAGATGTAGATTATCGGCTCAGCAGCAGCATAATTGCTTGAAGACTAATGAATGCACAATTTGAGAATCTGAGACAATGATCATTATCTTGTTGATACAGCAGTGACTTTACCACAGAGCTCAGTACGAGGCAGCAGAGTTTCAGCCAGCTGTGACCTGGCAGCTGTACAGCTGTGTCAACAGAGCCCAAGCTCTTCATTAGAGGAAGCATGAGAACTCGCTGCTGTGGCTGCCTGGCTTCTGGATTGGATCTCATCCAGCTGAGCAAAGACTAAGCAAATTTTACAGACCATGTTCATGAAGCCTGTAAATACATAAAGTGATCAGAAATAAGTCTCTAGCATGGCAAACTGAGGTATAACTTGATTTCAAAGAATCTATACCAAAACCAAGTTTGGATTTGCCTTACTATAAAAGAAATCTTACATTTAAAACTGGATGTTACCTCCCTGGGCAACCTGTTGCAGTCTCACTGCCCTCAGGGTAAAGAACTTCCCTATATCTAGTCTAAACCTACGCTCCTCCAGCTTCCACCCATTAGCCCTCATCCTATCACTACAGACACTTGTAAAAAGTCCTTCCCCATCCTTCTTGTAGGGCCCCGTCAGGTACTGGCAGGCCACTATAAGATCTGCCCGGAGCCTCCTCTTTTCCAGGCTGAACAAGCCTGACTCTCTCAGCCTGGCCTCGTAGGAGAGGTGTTCCAGCCCTCTGACCATCTTGGCAGCCCTCCTCTGGACTCCTCCCAACATCTCAATGTCCTTCTTGTTTTGGTGACTCCAGAGCTGGACACAGCATTCCAGGTGGGGTCTCACAAGGGCAGAGTAGAGGGACAGAATCACCTCTCTCAACCTGCTGGTCACACGTCTCTTGATGCATCCCAGGATAAGGTTGGCTTTCTGGGCTGCAAGCGCACACTGTTGTCTCATGTTGATCTTATTGCCCACCAATACACCCAAATCCTTCTCCCCAGGACTGCTTTCAATCCACCCATTACCCAGCCTGTATCTCTGCTTGGGATTGCCTCAACCCAGGTGCAGGCCCTTTTTTCCCTTTTTGAAAATGGGGTTATGTTTCCCCTTTTCCAGTCAGTGGGTACTTTAGCAAACTGCCATGATCTTTCAACTACGATGGAAAGCAGCCTAGCAACGTCATCTGCCAGTTCCCTTAGGACCCATGGATGGATCTCATCAGGTCCCATGGGCTTGTGCACCTTCAGGTTCTTTAAATGGTCACAAACCTGACCTTCACTTACAGTGGGCAGATTTTCTTTCTCCCAGCCCCCGCCTTTGGCTTCTACAATTTGGACAGTGTGGCTGGGGGCCCTGGCTGCCAGTGAAGACTCAGTCAAAGAAGTCATTGAGAACCTCTGCCTTCTCCATATCCTTCATGATCAGCTCTCCTGTTCCCTTCCAGAGAGGAGCCACATCTTCCTTAGCCTTCCTTTTATCATTGACATGTCTATAAAAGTTTTTCATGTTACCCTTGATGTCCCTGGCTAGATTTAATTTTATCTGGGCTTTAGCTTTCCTGACCTGGTCCCCAGCTTCTTGGACCCCATCCTTGTATTCTTCCCAGTCTATCTGTCCTTTCTTCCACTTTCCGTAAATTCTCTTTTTATCTTTCAGTATGTCCAGCAGCTTCTTGTTCATCCCCGCAGGCCTCCTGACATTCTTGCCCGTCTTCCTCTTTTTTGGAATGCATTGCTCCTGGGCACAGAGGACCAGCTTTCTTGGGCCCCTCTCCCCTTCAGGGCTTCATCCCATGGTACTGCACTAAACAGATGCCTGAGAGGTAAAAGTCTGCTCTCTCAAAGTCCAGGGTGGTAAGCTTGCTGCGCACTCCCCTTGTTGCCCTGAGGATCTTGAATTACAGCATTTCATGATCGCTGTAGGCAAGACTTCCCTTAAGCTTCACATTAGTCATCAGTCCCTCCTTGTGGGTGAGAACAAGGTCCAGCATGGCACTCTTTCTCGTTGGTTCCTCTACCACTCGGAGAAGGAAACTGTCACCAACGCAAAGCTGCTCCTATCTGTCTATAGAGGGCCTCATCTGCTCAGTCATCTTGGTCAGGTGGCCTGTAGCAGACCCCCACTATGATATTACCTTCCCCTGCTTTTTCTGTAAACCAGACCCATAAGCTCTCAGTCAGCCCCTCACCCATCCCCAGGCCAAGCTCCACGGATGCCAGCTGGTCACTGACGCAGAGGGCAACAATCCCTCCTCTTGCACCCTCCTTATCTTTCCTAAAGAGCCTGTACCCATTTATTCCTACGCTTCAGTCACAGGAGTCATCCCACCACATCTCTGTGATGCCTATAGCATCATAACCTTGTAGACACGCACACATCTCTAAGTTCTCTTGTTTGTTCCAATTGCTCAAACTAGAAAACTTTTGGGTTGCGGGAAAAAATCACTCACAAATGCATGTAATTGTTTTGGAGGCCAAAACAAAAGCCCAGAAATTTGAAAGAACAGCTTTAAATTGAGCAGACAGAAGCTAGACAATTTAACAAGAGGATTAAACTGAATCCCAGGATTATGAACTGCATAATAAGAGACGTGGGTGGTTTTTTGGGTGGTTTTTTTTTTGTTCTGTTTTGTTTGCTTTTTTTTCTTAGTACTGTAAACTCAGAGCCTTTGGAACAAAGTGAGATTTTTTTTTTTCTCTTAGAAGTCGCCCCTATCCTACTGGAAATCTTTTGCAATGGAGGTCCTGACAATGAATTAATATATGCTTGTCATCTGAATGGATAATGTATGCCATCCTACATTCCTTATTCTCCAGTAGATCTTTCTCTTCTTTTTAAATTTATGTAAGCAAGCTGGAAGACGAAGAAAAGAATTAATGAAAGGAAATAAAGTACAGAGTGAAAATATGAAACTACACCTTACACTTTCAGATGAGGAAACAAGATATAGAAAATGGTGTTTGTATATTAAAGAAGTTAACAGGGTAAGGTTACAAATTTAGTCTCTTCAATAGGATGAGAAATGGGAAAAAATTAGAAAACAGCAGGAACAATTTCTATTTGTCTGATGTGAATTTTTTCACTGTCTGCTGAAGCTCCTCTGAAAGGTAAAGCCAGAGGGAACTGAAGCTATAAGAGGAGACACACTGTATATACTAAGCTACAGTTTCATTTTAAAGTCCATCTAGCAGTAACTTTCTCAAAAGATCAACTGCTTCTTTGTGCTTCTTGGAAAGTATAACCTCTCTGCCCTCACTATTATAATGTTAATCCAATCACAAGACTGCTATGGCAGCACTGTTCTCCCTCCATAGATGTCACAGGAGAGAGCAATTGACTCTTAACTGTATCAAATATTAGGAATCCCACAGTATTCTTGACCCTCTTCAGGAGCTGTCTTCTAGTTTTGCTCAGGAATGAACGCCTCAGGCATATTCTGCCCACTTACCAGACTGTGAAAATGTGAATTTTACAACCTACTCTACTCATTAGGATGTAGGGGTGCTGTTTGCAAGTGGAGAACAGTATCAGTTTAATTTTATATTCGTGTTTCCCCAACTGTAATACACCAACAGTCCATATATATTCATAAATGCAATACTGTTATATGAAGGGAAAATTATATAAACATAGATATCTAACAAAAATGCACCTTACATATAAATACTGTATATGCTCACCCAAGGCTTCTCACAAGCTTTGCAAATTCTAAAAGACACGTGTCAGAAGGCAGACGAAGTTGTCCTTCAGCCAAAGCTAGCTGACAGTCTTCAAATGTGTAGTCTGTCACTGAAACTCCCAACGCCCTTGAATAAACCATAGAAACACAGTAAGTGAAATAATCTAAGAAAACTGAGCAGAATTATCACTTATTTTATAACAAGAAATCCTATAGCAACTATGCTCTCTGTTCTGAAGAACTATATGGAGAAGCCCATAAAAGAAAGTTCATATATAAAGAATGAAATATGGTACTCTGCTTACTGTAGAATATCTATTTTAACTCTATAAGTACACGAAAATATAAAAGAACACTAAGGAAAAATTAAGCAGTGCACAGACTTCCAAATTCCTAAATACTTTCAGAGAAGTGAATAATAAGGATTTAAAAATTATTAATCTAGAACAAAAATACGTATTTAATAATTATGTTAAACATGTATGTTATTACTACACAAACATATTAATGTATCAATAATCACTTGAATAGAGCAATTGTTACCTTCAGGTAATACTAAAATTATACAACAGGCAACATTTCTCAATATAGCTAGAACATAAAGTAGAAAAACAAATAGTGTTAAACTCCAAGCAAACACGAGTGATTTTTAAAGGCATGACATAAGAAAGGTAGAAGAAAAAATACTGTCAAGTTCTTATATGCCAAACAATTAAGTACTCATTTTTGCTTTACTTCTAACTTGATGTTCTGCAGTAATTGCAGCATCAAAAGTTACTTCAAGGAAATCCTGGAACTGTAGTTGCACTGCATTTGCTGTGGCAAAGTTGAGAGAAAGACACTTCAGTCTGGAAGAAGCTTTTAAGAATTCAGTGTACAAACATTAAGATACAATTCAGAAAACAAACACTGCTCCATATGAAATATTTTCCATGTTTTCCATTATGCTTGATTTTACTTAAATTAGTACAGAATGCTATCTCCTTTGTGCAGCCATTTCTAGTTTGATGAAGTCCTTTTCCTTGACTTACCTTCATTCTTTTTATCTACAGGTTTTTCTACACTACTGCTAATCACCTTTTTCATCTGTGAAGTTAACACATAGTAATGGCAAGATTGATACAACCCCCCAGGCATGCCATGATCGTTTTGGCTTTGATGAAAACTCTGCATTCAGTTCTACACTTTATTACAGACAGTTTAATCTGTAACAGCAGTTACCTCTCATGCAATAATCACTTAAATTCTGTTAAGTAGCCTCTTCCACAGAATCTCCTTACAAAGTCTTTGAATGCCCGTGTAAATAACATAAGCCAGTTCTCTTTCATCTACCAATTAATTGCCAAGCTTCAGGAATTCTATATTTTAGTAAGACATACTTAACATCCAAACTAGTGATCAGGGTTTCTCTCTACTCTCTAAGGCTAAGAAAGTCAAATATTCAGGAAGAACAGCTCACCAACAGATACTCAAATTCAAAAGTATCAAATATGCTAAAAAATCAGATACTATTCATAAGCTACTTATGAATAAAACAGGGACATACAGGTAGTGATTCTGGATGAACAGCTTTCCCCTTGCAAGAAGCAGCAACTAACAGGAAGGAACAAAAGAAAAAAGCCAACTAAACCAAAAAGATATAGGTACCTAGAAAAGGCATCTTAAAATCCTGCAGACTGTTGGTGGTTAAATCGCCTCAGATGGGTGATCCTAAGCAATTACATTCAGCTCCTCTAAATTATTCGCTTTTTGAGCTGTTCCTCTTTCATCACTCTAGTCCTCCCATGAACAATGTCCTAGTAGCACTTGCAAGTTAGTAAATCACCTTAATGGAAAGAAGTAGAGGTTCTTGTGATACCATGTTTCGCCCCATAGACTTATAGTTAACATAGTAGTGAACCTTGTATAAAATCCAGATGAAGAGCTCCTCCATACTGTGAGGATTTAAATCCATTTCTAAGATCCACCTGACTTAGAGATCAGGTATTGCAGGTCTTCTCAACTCTTGTATGGCATTCAATATGGTGTTGTATTATAAAATATGAAATTATTGGTATTACACAATACAGTATCAATTTTCCTTGGAAGCAAAAGGGATGGCTGAAAGAAGAAGAGTTTATCCTGACAGTTTAGATAGTTTCCTGTTCCCTTGTTTTGTACTGTGTATGTACTAGATCATCCTTAAAAAACTCCCCTGCCAACAGTGAAATAGCCCAATGCCTAAGGCAGCAAGAAGACACTATAAGCAGTTCTATCCAGAGTGGCTCACATAAAATAATGTGGTAAGACCCAAAAATCTTGTCCAGCCAGGCATATTACACTAAATTTCAGCAGATCTTAAGGCAGGTATAGCACACAACAGAGATACAGGAACTCATGAGCAATCAGCTGATGCACAGGGAAACTACACAGAAAAAGGGAAGCTAGCTAAAAATAACTAAGAAGTAGAAACTGAAAAGGTAAAGTGTTCATCTGTGGTACGAACCAACACACCATATTAGGGAAATCAGGAGATGTGACACTAATAAAAGGATTCTGAAAGGACAAAAAAGCAGCCAAAACCAGTACGACTCAGCAAGCGATTAAAGATAGTAACTAGAACAAAAATACTTTTTCTTAAAAAAATACCTTCTCTCAAGGAAAACAGAGAAGACAGACAAGTTAAAACATAATCATAAGGTGGCAAGCCAAAGCAAGAAAGAATAACTTGTTAAAACTAAAAGCTAGAAGCTTTTCAAACACATCAAAAGAAAGATGACTAAGAAAGATCAGGTCACTCAACCTGGGGAAGCCTGACTGACTGCCCTCCCAGAACCAATGCCAGATTTAAATAACTTTCCTCAACAATGGTCCCCAAACACATTGAAGGAGCCTAGCCAAAGTGGAATTTAAAGAAAATCAATACCCCAAAAATCAACAAAACCCAAACTTACAATACAGAACAAATTCCAAACAAAAGCAGGGATCACCTCAGACTCAGTCAAACCATAAGGGGAAAAGATAACCTGCATCATTTTACAGTTGCATGCACCCCTCATGGAAGGAGCGGTATTTGGGCCAGACTTCTAACACTATTACTACAGGAAAATTCCCACTGCAATTAATGCCTGCATTTATGCCCAGTGTCAACATTTACACAAAACACGACAGAGAAGGATAAAAGCAACCTCTCTTGTTCACCTGTTGATTCAGCCTTTGGTTTTTCAAAAAAACCAAAATAAATGGAAATGGTGTGTTTATATATACACCTAGACTCTCAGAATTACAAAGATCGGAAGTAAAGAAGGGGAAGAAGTAACTTTTGCTTACAGTAAATTTCAGTCATAGGATCAACCAAGGCCAAATAAATTAGAGTTCAAGGCACTCTTGATTTGAGAAGATAAATCACAAGCTGTATAGGGCTAGCAGTTTAACACAAAAGGACCTTGATTTCAGCTCAGAATGCTGAGGAAACAAGCTGGGAACATTTAAAGTTCGTTATTGGTGCTAAGACTGGTGAAGTTTGATGTAGTTTTTAGAATAGACTGGCATACTAGAGTTCCCCGTAAAGCCTGGGTGCAACTGCAACTCATGGGATTTTCTACAGAACCAGTTACCAAACTATTTCAACTTTTCTCAAGGGCAATCTTTCTCTATTTCAATTCAACTGCCAGGAGAAAAAAATTAATTTGAGATACAAATGGCAACCTCACATTTTTAGCAAACTAGGAATATATTCATTTGAAAGCTGATTTTTTTTTTTCATATTACCTCTACTTTTACAGTCAGTTAAGGCCTCTTTAACGTTCAGATATTTTATATGCCCAGACATCCATGCCTAGCTTGACATACTTTGAGACTTTTTCTCTCCCTACCTTCCCTGAAATGCAGGCTATTTACCTCTCACAATGCTACACTACATGAAATTCCAAAGTCAGCAAGTCACTTCAAAAAAAATAAAACCAAACAAAATCTAAACAAAAACTCAAAACCCTTCCTGCAAACCCAATCTGTTACACACAACAGTTGTTACATCCTGACTTCTCACACCAAACAGCTCCCTATGTCTAACACTTATGCAGTCATAATACAAAAATAAATTATGAACTTTCTCATTTTTTGCATACCAATCCACTATGCATACAAAATTCTGAACATAAAACAGAATGTGACTGCTGTAATATTATGCAAAGTAAGAGAAAATTGTACAGGCAATATTGTGACATTCTGAATCTACACTTCAACAAAAACATTTTTAAAATGTTTTACACTGTTAATAAGGAGAACTGTGAAGTAATCTAGAAAATATTCCACAGGCTGCTCAGAAAATCTCCTTTAAATCAGCTTTATAGGGTGCTGAAAACATTAAAAGGATATAAAAATTGCTAATTTTATTTCACTATTAAATGTTTAGGAAAAAGACATAAAAAACATGGTGGACAAATAACCAAATAATCAGCTTCTAGTAGTTATAGGAACTTCTTGAACCACAGACTACTGGTACCGCTGTGTTTTAGAATCAATGATGGACCAAATTTTTTTACAGTATATCTCAGTTCGGATTAATTAATTTTATGCATCTGGCAATAAATGTCATAATTTAAAGAGCAGATTTCTATTTACTTTCAGTCGACCTACTGTTGAGTGTTTTCTATCTCTTCTGTTACAGAAAGTAACAAACTTTCCTAACTATGCATTTCCTGAACACTCATGATTTTGCTGACCTTCAAAACAATCCGCTTTTTTTTTTTTCTCTTTCTTTCTTTCTTTCTCAGGCTGAAGAGCTTCCACCTATTTAGTTTTGGAAGGCCAGGGCACATAGCTCTTCCTCTCTCCTTGGACTACTCTGCCTTGTGATACCGTCCAAGCAAACGAAGGTTCAGTCACATCAAGAATTTAGTATGGTTTAATTTTCAGACAGAAAAAGAAGCTGCTAACAGCTGCATTTATCCTTTGTGTTAAGAAAACTGGTCCTGTAATTGTTAGTCTTGTAGACTTGGACATCACAAATCTTCAATAAGTGAAAAATGAAGCAAGTTCTCTTTCTATATATTGTCAGCATTCAAATACCTAGTTCAAACCAGACTGCTGCAAAATATTACTTAACTTAAAAAAATATTTCTTTCCTGAGAAAATAAACATAGCAAG